ACAATTAAAATTATAGAAAAAAGAAAGCGATTAAATATAGTTTACTTCAACGCTTCAACATTTGCAACTAGATAGACATCTTGCACACAAACATTTTTCAGCGCACAGTTGATACAATGCATTCAACACAGATCACATACAAACACGGCGAAAACACGTGACACGCTTTCTCTAATCACTATAATCGCTAACTCCCTCGAATGTCCATGATTCTTTTATACTGACCATTTGAGCGCGCAAACTTGTCATCGTGTATCACAACGTCAGTGAATAATGTTGCAAATATTTACCTGCTTCCGCGAGAGTTGGTAGTACGAGGGCGCCACAGTATTTGGTGCCCCAGTAGACTTCCGGAAGTGTATTTATTTGTTCTTCAACAACGCACAGGAATCGGGTAGGAATATTTTCCTTGGCAGAAGAACCTGTAATACGTTGGTAAGAGCCTGTGCGCATTGTAATACGTTGTACAAATAACAAAACGATATGAGACAAAATGAAAACAAAAAAGGAAAGCCGGAAGTGCAGAGGGGTCCGCCGATAGCGGACGGCAGCGAGCTTGTTCGAAAACGAACATCGGTGATTCGTGAATAGTGCTCTTTTCGTACCAATATCCTTCCTCAATAAAGTTTTCAAACGATTCAAGGGTTCTATCTCCTAGTAGAGAACAAAGGTAAACACGGAAATTATTTGCAACAGTCGATAAAACAATTCCCCCCCACACCCGGTTCTCAACATCGATGTATTTGCTTCCCTGCACAGCCGCCGCGAACCAGCTTCCTCGCCGCTTACGTTAATCAACAATTAAAACGAATGCTTTTCGTCACCCGCGACGAACGAAGGCTGTAATTAACGGTGAGTTCGACGGCAGCTGCACTGCTTTCGCGCGTTGCACGAAAGGAATGCGTGCAAAATTAATACCGCATGCAGCTCGCATCTTAATTTGTCTGTAGTCCATGGACGAATGCTCGCATTTCTGGGGAAGATATAAGCAAATTCAAAAAGACTCGGAGAATGCCAAAACACCTTTTTTTTTTTAATTAGTCCTAAAGCTAGATACACTATTTACGACGCATATCGACGGTCGTGACGGTGCACTGTCACGACCGACGACAGGTTAATTAGAATCATTCAATCTCAGAGAACACAAAAACCGTGAAGATGACGTTCCCAATGTCAAATAGGAGCGAAGCAGCGAAGCAGCGAAGCAGCGAAGCTTCTTGGATAGCGAAACCCATGCCACTGAATCGGCCGAACGGTCACCCTAGAGCGGCGCATCGGGTGCCGAGCGAACGCTCGTCTCCGGTTTCGTTAGAACTATCCTCAGAGCAGTCCACGTCCACGCACACACTCGTCCAGTCGAGCCAACGTTACGAAAACACTCAGTTGGAAAACTCACCCTTGAAACCTGGGTCGCTGGCGTCCACCGAGACCGAGCTAAATACGATAACAGCGCCACCCTTTAACGAGTCACTAAATGTTCTTAGAGTACCGAAACTCCCAGGTTCGAGGTGCCAAGATGGCGGCTCAACCTTTTTCTTTAGTGTGGTCCCCATAAGCTTTTAGAAAGCATGTTTTAGCGCTAAAGACAAACGGAAAAGCACATTTTGTAGGAACCTTTATTGCCGATTAATACAAAATGACAGGCGCGATATGTTTTCTAGACTATTGAGTTTACAAGGTTGTGCGGCACAATTAATATTGTTTTTATAGAACCATGTCTCACCGGTGATTTCAGGTAGCGCGTCCCGACTTGGGCGCCTCCCAACATCGGTAGTGATTCGCGGCGCGTCCGCTTCGGAGACGGAGCTTCACATCCCTGAGATCCTTTCCACCGTATATGTTTCGGCGCCAAAATGGCATATTAAAGCAAAATAGAACCGTCTGAGAAGATGCTATACAATGCGATACTCTCTAGCACGGCCTCCGAGATCCCTAAGCGCGCGAACTTCGGGATCTCGGAGGCCATGTCTTTAGCCGTGCAGTTCCTCGAGTGGCCGCTGCGGGAAAAATGGCGGCGTTGCACTCGCCGTTAGCTCGGTTCTGGCGTACGGATCGGTGCCACTTTTTCAGAGCGGCTCTATGGCAGTTTCCCAACCGAGATGTTCTATTAACGTTGAGTCGAGCGCACGAAAGTTAACTATGCACTCCAACACGGGAACACAAGAACGACACACGACACACGGCCGAAACGGCAGGTTAGGATCGCACATATGAGCGTCTCGCAAACTCCGACTGACCCCACCTCCTTGTCGTACAATGTTGGCAAGCGTCTCTTGCGAAAGAGAAGCATATTTTAGAGAAGACAGAAAAAAAAACAGAATTAACCTTTTTTTTTCTTTTTTGGAAATGTCTTTTGCATGAGCTACGTGACTATTTTAATCCCTGTTAAACCCCAAATAAAAATATAAGCGCTCCCAAAATAATGCAAACGAGAAGCAAAATCAGAAGCCGCATGGCCATTGCATCAACAATGTCTGCCTCCTGGCTGCGCTGGCGTCAGCGTGTCTTCCACGACGTACTGGAACGGAGGCTGGGATTTCAGCCTCCATTCCAGTTTATAACGATCGATCGTTATAGAGTCAGTTCCAAACCTTAAACATGTCCCCTCCTACAATATTTGATGCTACGATTGTGTGTGGATACCTCTCCCAGCGTTCCGAAACAGAAAGTGCGTCGCTAACGCTGGCCATCGGCGATGCAGCCGAAACCAATAAAACCAACTAAGTTCTGGAACTCCGCTCCCGAGGGGGGTCCCTTTGCGTGGCGCCTGTTAGAGGGCGCGCGCTCCGCATTAATACTCGCTATCATCATCATTGACGGCGCGCTTGTGGCCGTCGCATCTGGCTACTGAGCTTACGGATGTTCGTGGCGCTTTTTGTGACAGTAGCAGACGACTTTCAAATTGTTTCTGCTGCAGTTGGTAGTCATCGGCACATCTACTATTACAGTAGGTACTTGCCCTGATTGTAGCCACCGCAAAAATGTGGCGCCGACGAATTTGGGTTGTTTGAAACGCTGTCAGCACAGCTAAGGCAGCAGCATTTTACAATAATGCAAAGCGTGTGCCAAAACGGTCGTAGCGCTTTTCATGCTCAAATTGTAATTTTTACTGGCGAAAGGGCAAAAATTGACCGACAGCCATGCTGAACGTCGAGAGGAGTCAGGACTCGCAAGCAGCCGCGGAGCAGCAGCAGACGAAAACGCGTGGAATAATGCGCCGGCAGCGCCACCTAGCCGAAAAAAAAATAAAAAATGGGGCACGGTTTTGGACATAGAGTTATTATAATGTACGCTAGAGGTTCAAGTGGCGCTAGTGTGCTGACGCAAATTGAAGCAGACAGCAACAGTCGAAAATTGACTTCCGGTAATGCATTTCTATGGGAAAAAGTGAGTGCATTTTCTCTCTGTACTCAATCATAAGAGCAAATATCCCGAATATAGCTTGGAACATTTCTCAGTCAGGCCGACGAAATAATTGGTCAGTTACGGTGTTTTTCTTTCAAATTCATCGCATTAAAAACGGTGCTAAAACGGCTTCGTACGTGTATTTATGTGCACTGTCGGACACTGTTAGCGCGAACGCGGCGTCGGCGCTTTTCAGCGTGGGGGATATACGTGCCAAACGAACGAAGAACATCTGGAAATTAAGAAAGACGGCAAGAACTACGCAGTAACACCGGATCAGTAACTACACGTGCATATACGGTCAAAATTAATTGAAGGCCACGTAATCTATTCCTTGTTTAAATAAGTAAGTACCGTTCTATTCTTTCTGCTCTGAGCGAAGCTGCTTGTTCTACGTTCAAAATATCACTCGCACGCTCGAAACCTTTGAGAACAAGTGCCCGATAAAAGCTGCCCGGCAGAGAAAACAATTCGAAGAGACACCTTTTATAGCCCACGAACCTTATTCTCTACGTTTTGAATATTTTGATCCGCTCATGCACGACGGGGTCATTTTTATATAGTGACAGAACTGGCATATTATCAATACATAAGCGTCACCGGATTGCTGGCAAGCCTTGAACGTACACACTCCATATTCCTTTCGATTGTAATTTTGCTTTGAATCGTCGCTTGTTTTTAAACACCTGCTGCGGTACACACGTCTGGGACTGAAATGTAGCGAAGTTAAACATCGGTCACTGATGAAGAAAAATGCGCTAACTAAAGCAATTACACTTTTACAGTGTTAATGAAGGTACATACTATTCGGTAAGGCCCAAATAACCGAAGTGTTCCGTGTTATTTTCCGGCGAAGAGACAAAATGCACGCGCGTTTTCCCATAGGAATACACAGGAAGACTGGAAAAGTAGACTGGTTGCTGTCTGCTTCAATTTGCGTCACGGAAGTCGCATAGACACTAGCGCCAGTTGAACCTCTAGCGTACATTATAATAACTTTATGGTTTCGGACCCCCTCCAATGTACAGCGTCTATGGGAAGTTGCATAACTGAGTTGATCTAGTAACGGCGGCCGAAACAGCAGGCACCCCCATCTTGTCCGCGCCTTTGGGGTAGTAGAAAGGTAGTAATGGTCAGGAAAAGGTAGTGACGGCTGCAGTTACTAGTTTTTTACTAGCTTTTTTAAGAGTGTAAGACTTGGGTTCCGCTACCCGGAGATTCAAGCGTGCAAAACTCGCTTAAATCGCCACTTGAAACGGAAGTTACTGCAATTCTTTACGGAGGCATGCTTGGGTTTTGCACCTCGTAACACCAGGCTCTTCCAAATTGTCCTTGAAGCGGCGAACACGGCCAGAAGGAAGACCTGCTCCCACATGTACAATTAAGCGACATATATAACGTATGTGGTGCCACAAGCGGTCTAGTTCATGGACGCTGAAGCGCATGAGGCAGCCCTATAGTGGGGACTCAGACACGTTGATTTAGCATGCATCACGCGGAATATCTGAAATGTGCTCACTGAGCCTGAGCCGTTTACTCGCTTCTGTGTGGGACGTTGTTCGTTGCGTAACGCCAACCGTGCGTTTAACCCGCAGAAGACTGGGCGAGCCATCCCACCCCCTGGGCGGCGACCCCAGCCGGTCTCAGGACGGCGACTCCAGCGACGACGACGAACAACTGGATGTCGGCGGTGCGGACGACCTCAGGACGGACCTCAACGGTTCAGGGCCGGGAGACCAGGAAGGTAAGGAGCGTTGGCGATTTCGTTGAATCCTCATTCCACCGAAAAAGAGGAACATGTCGACCAGACGGTGAAATGAGCCGGAAATGATCGGCATCTACGCTTGGCCAGCTCAGGGTTTTATCAGAGGGGAATGTTCGTGTACTTTTATGCCTGGTCAAATCAATAGGGGAAGTCACATGCAAGGTCATTAGTCAACTCAGTTGGAAAGCTTGAAACGAGTCGCAAACCCCATCTAACTCCTAGCTAAAAAAAAAAAAAAGATCGAATTTCGCGGAGAGGTGGAATATATAACCTAAAAAAGTCCAAGTACAATTGTGGTACGGAAATAAACAAAGCAAACTACGGGACACTAATGAAGTAAATAACAAATCAAAAATCGAGGACGCCTAAACACTTCGGATGAGTTGTGAGTGCTAAAGCATTCTCTGCGCCGAGAGGAGTAGAAGTGGCCGCAGTTCCGACAGAGAGTGCGGCGGTTCGCCGCGCAAACCGCTCCGCCGTGTATTCCGAGACTTGACAAAGATGGTGGATTTCGCCTACGAGCAGCGCATTCCTCCAAGCAGCGCGCCACGTCTTCCCATCGCACAAGGCGTTGCGGCGGTGACAGTGCACACGGCGTGTCGAACCTTGCCGGGTCCATGACGGCTTACGTGACGAGGCATCTGCGTTGCTGTGCTTTTCTTTGTGTTTTATTTCTGAGCACGTCAGCTTTGAGCTTGAGCGCACATGCCGACTTCCGTGACGAGGAATCTGCGTTGCTGTGGTTTTCTTTGTTTTTTTCTTTTTATCACTTTATTTTCGAAGTGCGCGTTCTCTTTGACCTCGAGCGGCCGCGTCGGCTTCCGTGACAAAGCATCTGATATGACGCGTCGCAGCCAATTTAGGTGCAGTTTTTCGCGGTTATGGATTTTTATGTCTCATTTTTAAGCGGTTACAGACGACGCCAGCTCCGCTTCACGGGACCAGTTAATGCTTTCGCATTAAAAATTCTCTAGCCGATATTTGTTACCGGGAAATTAGAGAGCAACATTCTGCTTCTGTCTCGGTACGTCCTGACAAGAAGAGCTCGAAAGCGTATAAAATAATGTTCTTTTGTGAACTGGAGAAAAATATTAGCAACTGGAACCGGACGTCTCTTATAGACTCTGTCAAGAAGTCATTGCAAAAGAAAACAAACGACACAAATTACGAAAGCCGTTTGTAGCAAAAACGCTCTCGATTGCACACACAAAAAAATATCTTCAAATGTATTGCGCAGAGGGTTGCCCACGTGGCAGTCAGTCAGTAAAAGGTTTTATTAGTGGGAAAACTCAGGGCTGCTCGATGGATTACATGTAGCCTTGCCCACGCGGAACTTTCTGGGTCCGAGTTGTGGCGCCATCTCTTGAAAGCAGCACTCAACATGTGTGCCGCCCATCTCCATCTTAATTCAACGCTCAAATTTCAGAACTTTTTTTGTTGTTGTTGTTTACCGTTGAATTTTGTTTTGAAATGCGCAGGGATGAAACCGACCCTTAGAACGCAATTTTGACGTAAATTTCAGCTCGCGAAGAGGCGGAATTTCAGCTCGCGAAGAGGCGGAATTTTATGCAAATTTATATCTGGAGTGGGAGTTAATTTTGTTGTTGTTTGCTGCCTCGCAAGCATATGGAAGATCTGAGCGTAGGATGAAAGTAAAAGTAAATTGTAACCAACCTATGGAAGGATGTCAATATAATTTTATATATTTATTGAATCTGCTCCCGCTCTCATGTCCATATTACCTGCCTGTTATCAGCATAGATGAGTCTTCGAAGAAAGGGGGATAATTTGATCTGTACTTATGAACTGGCTGCGTGACATAAAGGCTCTTTTTTTAGTCAATATTAAGCGATAATCAACATTTGTCAAATAAGGACGTGGGCAATTAAATGTCGAGGCCCAGTAGGTCTGTTCGAGAAATTTCAAATTTTATCTGAAAAGTTATTTCTGCATTTCTTTATCACCATGTCTCTAGCGACTTCTTATAACCCAGCGTTATGATGTTTTTGTGGCATTTACGGATACTACTAATGGGAGACGTCCAGGACTGCTCAAAGCACACAAGGAGAGAGAGAGGCAGAGAGAGAGAGAGAGAAATAACAGAGGGCGAGAGGTTTCTGTTCATGGAGAAATAATTGTTTCTCTTTTGGACGTAGAAGTATACAGCGCAATAAAAACAGCAATTCTACCATCATTCTATGGGAAGTTGGTGCCGTTGCTTCTTCATTTATGGCGCATTTATGAGCGACGACTATAACGCATACGCCCAACGACACGGACGCGCCACGGCGACCCGCACGAACCAATGGCGTTCCGTTCTCGTATTTCAAAGAGCCGTCACCATAACACGGTGTGAATGAGGGAGCCCCCGGCAATTTGGTCGACCTGACAAGGCACCGTGGCTCTTGGCGGACTGGCCCGCCTCGACTCGCCCGCACAGGCAGCGCGGCGGGGCATACGCAGCAATAACGGAAATGGTCGAGTAATGGAACGCAGAAAGCTAACGTCGTCGTGGATATACGGCCTCGGTACGGGAGGGAAACGAACGGTAATGGCTGATGCGAATGGCGCACTCCATGGGTGTATATGGCCGCGACCCCCGGTGCGTACAAGTGCGAAAGGCATCGCGGAGACTAATGGGCTACTGCCCCGTGTAAACGTCGCTGATGTTGCTGTTGCGGCCGAAGATCAAGGGGATTTCTCTTTCTTCATTTCTCTAATGGATGAGCTGGTGGCGTTCCGCGCGGATCCGTAGATTAAATCTTTTTGGACTTTTGGTTCTATGCGGACAGTGCTCTAGGTGTCAATTTTACTGCTTTGTCGCGAGCCCAAGCTTAATGCACTGAGATATCCTAGACGATTAGAATAAAGCGTTTTCGCGTAACCATTTTATGTTCTTGCGTACTTACCTAACTCCCGTTGAAGCCGCTCGCCAATCGAATGGTGAGATTTATTTTATGTAATCCTCTTTTACCTGGTTTAATTTGCGATGCACTGTTTTACGACAATAGAAACGTTAGCTTGAGGGGCAGCTTAACAAGCTCTTCTTGATTTTGTCTCTACCTAACCGCTATAAAAGATAAGAAAAATACACACACCGGCATACAGAGGCCGATACGAAGCACCTCGCTTGCTTTCATTGATCCTCGCGGACCAACCAGACGCAAAAAAAACAGTGTGTCGAACCGAAAAAAATACGGGTTCGGTTACGGTTCAGGTTCAGGTAAATTTATTTTGTTCCGGTTCAGTTCCGGTTCCATTAATTCGATCCGCGAACCGGTTCGTGAACCGGTTCGGGGCGCTGAACCGGTTCGCGAACCGGTTCGGAAATTATAAATGACAAATTGCAACATCAAAATAAATTACAAATAAAACATCCGAAATCAGCACATACGAAACGGGATACATCGTAGTGTAAGGCTCAGGGATTTCTACCAGGAATGGTTACTTTATCGGCACTCAAAGGTTACCTCACCGACGTTTACGCATTCGGACTTCATCTAATTGGGTCCGACGCAGTAGCTGCAAAAACCGCGACCTCCTTACAAACCCACTTACAAGTAGAACTCGCTAACTATCCCGCCACCTCGGCGTGTAAGCAGTTGAAGGAACAGTGGGGAGAAAATACAGCTTTCTTTATTTGAACTAGCCTTCGGTAACTCAAATTAGACCCTTAAAGAAGTTTTCATTAAACAAGATACGGAATATGTAAAACACTTCACCGAACGCAACGCCAGAAGGACGTAATAGGATAAATATTAAAATAGAAGAGTTCGCTGCCTCACAAATATGTTAGCTTCTAAGTGCCTATACGAAACCGGATGCATTATTATCTAACTCCACAGCCTTTTTTTTTCTCATTCCGATGGAAGCAAGCCTCAAGAACTCGCGCGTTCTAGAAACGTGTTATGAAATGAGCACACAGCAGCATTTAGGATTTACGAGATTGTAAAAAAATGTAATCAAGTGACGCGATTTTTTTTTTTTTCACAGCCTTCTAATTCTTTTTTTTCCGTGCAAGCCGCGACCAGCGCAATACTGGTTCCTATGTCAAGATTCATGGATGCAGCGTTTGTCAAGATTCATGGATGGAGCGTTTATATCCCTAAGACTGAGTGGAGAAGAAAAATATGTAAGCGAGGTGTGTGTCAGTTGACGGCACTTAAAAAACAAATGGCATTGATAGCACATTCATTGTCAACAGCGCGTGGCCGAACCGTTTTGACATGAGCCGGTAACCGTTATTTTTTTTCCGGTTCAGTTCCGGTTCGGGTTCATCGCGATAACAATATAACGGTTCGGGTTCGGGTTCAGTTCCGGAAAAAATACCGGTTCGGTTCCGGTTTTCGGTTCGGTTGGGTTCCGGTTCGACACCCTGAAAAAAACCAAGTCAGTAAACAGATAGCATAAACGCCCTCGCTTCGACCGCAATCAGCGAAGGCTACCATTAAACCTTCGCGGATTCACAGCCGGGCGTAGCAGCTACACTATATAAGCCTCTTTCTCACCAGGCGTTTCAACTTTCAACAAAGTTCTTCGAACTATACCGTCCTCTCGTGATTTCGGGGGGCGATAGCGACGCAGCCCAAGAAGAAACCACCGCCAAGTACGTTTCGCAAAAGCTCGCGATCCATCATGTGGCGTGCTCTCCAACTCGCGGAAGACGAAGCGGCAGCAGGCCGTACGGGCACTGAGCGAGCGAGCCAGCGAGCTCGTAAGCACGCCAGTAGGCAAGACGACAAACAGAGCTTCGCAGTAAACGAGATAAAACAAAAAAGAAAAATGGCTGCCAGCCTTAAAGTCTCCAGTCAGTCTCACACGCGGGGACACGGTGTGGAGTGCTAACTCCGTTTCACATTGCGATGAATCGCAAAGGACGCTATGTGCTATCCGAGCCGATCCAGCGCTGAAAAGGTATCACGTGACTAAAGGCCATGCGCGTCGCTGGGCCCCTTTCCCGAAGATCACGTGACATTCAC